TTTATTGAAAATGTTGTTCTCATAACTGTTAGTAGACCTCTCTGGGGCACACCATTTTTCTGTCCTATCTTGGTCTCTACTTGGGAAGTCCAGACTCATTCATTCTGTCTATTGGTTTTGTGCTGGGACGTCCAACCCATGTAGAATATGCCTCATTGACTTACAGCCACACCCTCAAAGCCAGACGCAACACCCGTCAGCTGGTGGACTTGGGCTGGTTGAAAAGAGCATGCATTTAGAAGACATCTCCACAGACGTGAGTCAAAATCCTAGCTTACCTGCAGCTCCGTGGCAGAGTTTTAGGTACAAGTTGCTATGTATTTGTGAGTGATGATATATAGTCCCCTGTTCCACAAACTGTCACAGTCCCCAAGTCCTTCACTCTGGGCCCTATGTCCCTATGAGCAACCTATTGCATCCATGGAATTTATCAGAATGTGCAAAGTAAAGGTCAGCTTGTTTCTTGCCCATTGCTGATCCAACGTGGTGAATACAAAGGGGTGAGAGAAGCTATTTAGGAAAAACTTTTCAGAAGATTCCAGTCACTACCTCCAACACCTGTTGAGGCCATTATGGCAACAGTGCTGGGAGGGTGTCCTGTCCTGTGCAGCCCGGGGCTCCAATACAGCAGACAGACTTTCGATCTAGAGGCACTTACCAGTCACCTTCTCATGCCCGAGGGCTTCCCTGTAAAGTTAAGCTATTCCAGGGACACAGGTCAATATTTCCACATCAGTGATGCTGTTTGGGTGTTGGACTCCTCACCTTTCCCCTCAAGTCTCACTCCCCAGCAATGAAAGGCTCCTTTTATGACTTTCCATTTAATGTTTACTCCAGAGATTCTGCTGAAGGTGGTTCATCTTCTAACTCAAATATGTTCGTCCAGTTGGCATGACCTCCAACCTCACTCCATGAGCTCTTGTCTCCGCTGCACATGCTTAACTTTCAAGGACACTCTCCACGCTCTCCACAGCCACCAGCTTTAGGATGAAGGGGCAACCTTGGAATGGAAATCTGTAGAATTGTTGGACATGCTTTGTAGTGGAGTAATAACATACTACTAGTAGAAAGACTTCAAAACCTGAAGAAAAGACACTCAAGATCTTAGGGAAAACAATTCAACTCTTGGCAGTTCTACTGTGGGCTCCTTGACAGCAAATGATGCTGCAAATATGCAGGTCAAGATGATAGTCAGGGCCCTCCCTGTTGGCGGAAAGTGTTAAAGCACAGCATTATGAAGCTTTCGCACCACTGCAGCACTAGTTCCATCCCTGGCCAGACAGGTGACCCACATGGCGCAGCGGACCTCTCCTGACCTGCCTGCTGCTCCCTCTACAGTGTACTTCCTCAAGCTGCCTGTTCTGCTCTCTGCTCTGTCTCTGGTGAATCCTCTCACCCATTACCCCTCTGGGCTGTATGCACCACACCCCAGTTCAGTATGCATAAATAAATCTTTTTAAAAAAGGATGGTCAATGTTTCTTTTGCCATCTGCCTCTGCCAGAGAACCAGAGTGAATGAGAAGCTAAATGAGTTGCACAGGAACATTTCCACACCAACTTCCATAACAAGGACAGTAAAACTCTGACTTCTTAAAGACCCCTGGGAGCTATTGGCCATGGTGAATGGGAGAGACAATTTATTAGCATGATGTATGTTTCTTCGTTTCTAATGATACATAAATTATCCCATGAGCCATGATACATATGGCTTAAAGAGAATTTTAAATGAAAGCAATTTTTTCCCCAGCAACACTAATTGCCTAGCAGCAGTAAATCACTCACCCCCCGCTGCCTGTGGGCTATGGTCATTACTCTCTCCTTGAAGTTGAATGGATGTCCCCCAAGAGGAATGTTTTCTCTGATGAAGTGAATTTACATCCTCACTTGTGCACCTGCCATGCTAGGGCTACAGAGGAGCAGGCACTAATAACGCCTTTTGGACCTGGTGCTGTGCATTTGTTTTTGTTTTTAATTATTATTAAATTACTTTTTAAATTTATTTATTTATTTGTTTTTTACATCATTCTTCATTTTGTGCATTTTCCCATCTCAGTTGTAATCTCCATGGGCTTCCCACCACCAATTCACCTGTGTGCCATCATCATAGTCCAGTGCACTCTTCCCACCCCAGGTCCAACCCCATTCCCCCTCCCACCCCCATAAATGTCTCTGGTTTATAGTTGTTCATTGTTTTCATTTTTAATCTATTACATTTCTCTCTCTCTCTCTTTTTCTCCCCTGATCCCTTACGCTCTTGCTATGAGTGAAACCATCAAGTATTTTTCTTCTACTTTTGGGCTTATTTCACTGAACATGATCCCTTCCAGCTCCATCCATGTTGCTACAAAAGGCATGAGTTTATCTTTTTTGATTGCTGAGTAATATTTCATTGGGCATATGTACACATCTTTTTAATCCAGTCTTCTATTTTTGGGCATTTGGGTTGATTCCACATATTCCCTATCATAAATAGAGCAGCAGTAAGCATGGGGGTGCAGGTGTCCTTTTGAGTCAGTGTTTTTGTGTCCTTTGGATGTATACCTACTAGTGGAGTTGCTGGGTTATGTGTAGGTTCTATTTTTAGCTTTTTGAGAAACCTCCAATCTAGCGCTGTGCATTTCTTCCATCTTACTACCAATGAGAATACAACAGCCAGTTGGGTCTTTGAACTTGGTTGCTTTGGGGGAAAAATCTGGAAGCTGCTATCAATAGTTCATCTTCCCTCACAGTGGAGCTTGAAAGGTAGACTTGGCTGTGAGCATGAAAGTTTCCTAGGTGACAAGTTAAACAAGTTGATAGCACCACTGATTTTGTGACAACACTAGATATAAGCATGATGTAAGGAATAAAACGAAGATGCTTTTTAACACCATTAATTCAGAATATATTTGTTGATTTCTGACACTGTGCTAGGTACAAAGGCTTCATGACATGGCTCCTGCCCTCGAGAAGTATCGGAAGAATACTGTGGAAGAAAGGATAATGCAAGAGGCCTAAGCAACTATAGGAGAGCAGAGTGCTGGTAACTCCTGCCTGCCTGAACTCTAAATTAAGGCTCCTGAGGAGAACGAGGCAACGTGAGAACTGAGACTTGAACTATACGTTGTGTTTGACCACATGGGTCATGTGTCAGGTAGAGAAAGGACTTCCTGGATAAGAAAAGAGTATTGTGTCAGAGAGAAGTTGATCTGTTAGGGAACTGATCATTTGGGGTGGTCAGACTATTAAGCAATGTATTTGGTTGCAGGGGGATGATAAGACTGACAAGACTAGAGGAGTGACAAGGCGTGGCCCAAGGACAGTTGTGGGGTGTTGGGGGGAGAGCAAGGGGAATTCATGGAATTATGGCTACAGGGCCAGACAAAGGTTGGGGTAAAATGGCATGAATGGGGAGGCCATTTATGTAATTGCTGCAACCTTGCACATTTAAAAGACAGAGACAGAGAGAGGAGAGAGAGAGAGAGATAGTTGCCACTACCTGTAACTAAAACAAATAGAAAATACATGATAAATGTCCTTGAAACCTATCTCTAAGGAATATATACCAGATTTCATATGTATATTTTAACTGTATATGATTTCTCATTCTTAAAAAATTTTTTTCTTAAAATATTTTTATGCTAAATATCCTGTCATATTCTTAGGGTTTATGCTTTTGGATGATGCATTTTGAGAGGAGACTCTTTTATAACTTCTATTACTGAAAAATGTGAATATTTTAATGCATATATATATATATATATGTATGTATTTTTTTTTTTAACATT